CAGCAAGAGCATCAAGACTGGAAAATCAGGATGCTATTGATGCAGCCATCATTAACATGCTTTCAGACCCAAAGGAGGTAGATATAGAAAATTCAAAATTCTGTTATTCTGTTTTTTCTTTTTGATGTTTATGTTCAGAGAATGAAAGAAACCTTGCATTTTCAGGCTCGTGCAAATATCAAAGAAGTCCACTTTCTGCCGTTTAATCCGGTGGACAAACGTACTGCAATTACGTACATTGACCCTGATGGTAATTGGTACCGTGCCAGCAAAGGAGCTCCTGAACAGGTACCCATCTGCATGAAGAGAGTTGACTCACAATGCCTTGATAACTGGTTGCTAATTTTTGCTAGATGATAATCCTAATTTGAGTTTATATGGGAACCACGTTAAAAAATTTTCTATGAACAAACCAGAACCAAATATGAAGTAACAAGATAAAATTCAACCATAAATTTATGAGATGGATCATTTCTGTTGCATAATCACCTTCAAATACCATGCAATAAAAATATCCCTGTTTTTTATTCTAAAGTATGAATGCTGATCAATCTTGTAAATGCTTGGCCCTTACATTTTGTATCTGGTACATTAACTTGGGCTTAAGTTTGCACTAAAAGTTTTATGAGGCAACAAAATCGACTTTACTGTCATTAGAATTGGATTTTCTTTTTATTTTTCACTTTTAAGTGTTTCCCCTATAATTTTCAAAAAAAAAAAAAGAAAGAAAGAAAGTGTTACCCCTATGTTCCTTTAACTCTTCTCAAGTTCGGTGTAGCTTTGCTTTAACAAACTAGTTTGGGCTGTCTTATAGCTATTTGGTTATGGTAAATGAAGTTGCAACAGAGCAGGACATTTACTTCTGTTCTTCTTCTTGTTCTCCTCAATATCAGATACTAAGTCTTTGTCAAGAGAAAAATGAGATTGCTGGAAAAGTGCATGCTATCATTGACAAATTTGCTGAAAGGGGCTTGCGGGCTCTTGGAGTTGCTTTTCAGGTATATTATCTTTCTGGATGAGGTTGTCATTAAGCCAATAAATTTAGTTCAGAAACTACTTGTCACCAATGATATCAGTACTGACATAGAAAAATAGGACAAGGATTTAAATTTCCACTTATCATTCAAATTCTTTTCTAGCATGTTTATTAACTTGAATAATTATCTTCTCAGGAAGTTCCAGAAAGAACAAAGGAGAGCCCTGGAGGTCCCTGGACTTTTTGTGGGTTGCTGGCTTTATTTGATCCTCCAAGACATGATAGTGCTGAGACCATTCGTAGGGCCTTAAACCTTGGAGTTTGTGTAAAGATGATTACAGGTACAGATGAATTACTAATGATTTCAAAAGGGCTTGCTTGGTTAAAATCATCAATTTCTAATATTACTAGACTAGTTACTTTGTCTAGCAGCATTTACTCCACATGTTTTGAGTTTGTGTTTTTCATGAGCTTCTATAAGCTGCCTGGAATAACAAGTTATTCTCCTCTTATTTCAAGAGCAAGACGTAAACATTATTCATAGTAGAATATTTTGGGCATTGAAAAGAAAAAGATCAGTCCATGTTATCATCTAATGGAATGTGATGTGTTTGTTTCAAATGCAGTTCTAGCATGCCACACTTAATTTACCTCACTTCCTTGATTTAAATCAGGCTGAGGCTGAACTCATAGACTAACTCAAGATGCCTTTAACTCAAGGAGCAGCATTGTTGTAGAAAAATGCTAATCTGTTCTGTATGTGCTAATATAGGTGATCAGTTGGCAATTGCAAAAGAGACAGGCAGAAGACTTGGCATGGGGACAAACATGTATCCTTCTTCATCATTGTTGGGTCGTGATAAAGATGAGCATGAAGCTCTTCCAGTGGATGAACTTATTGAAAAGGCAGATGGCTTTGCTGGAGTATTCCCCGGTATGTATCAAGAAATATACGAATATTTATTCAATCACATTTAGCAAACCAGTTTTAGAGAAATAAATTCTAAGGATTGAGTAATAATATTGCAGTAAGTGCTCTCTGGTACTTGCTGGTGAAGTGATGACTAGATCAGTAGCTTAAAAATTGATGAGATACACGTATTTGTATGTTTACTGTCATTCCTATTTTTATGGCTTCATCCCGTGACTTCATATTTCTATACAACTTTCAGAACACAAGTATGAAATTGTAAAGATTTTACAAGAAAAGAAGCATGTGGTCGGAATGACTGGAGATGGTGTGAATGATGCACCTGCTTTGAAGAAGGCAGACATTGGAATAGCAGTGGCAGATGCTACAGATGCTGCAAGGAGTGCTGCAGATATCGTCTTGACTGAGCCTGGCTTAAGTGTGATAGTCAGTGCCGTCTTGACTAGCAGAGCTATATTCCAAAGGATGAAAAACTACACGGTAGAGTATCAATCTTTTGTTCTGAATAAAAACAGCGTTTATATCTTTACTAATGAAATCCTGGCAACAGGAAACGTACTTACCCAGAGTGCAAGTACTAGTCAATCATCAAGCATAGCCTTATCACTGGCTGACTTTAAGAAAAGAGATATTATAACTAAAATACCTCAAAGGCTCTTGTCACATTGCAAATTTTTACACTTCAATACGCTTCCACTTAAATGATAGTTACCAAGCAGAGCCTAGCCTTGTTGGTTTTCACTAACTTGTTAAAACCTTAATTTTGGAGTAAAAGTCAGAAGTTAAACGTTTGTCTTCTATTAGTACCTAGATTCTCAAATTGATAAACCTGACTAGACTGTTTGAAATGTGCAGATATATGCTGTCTCAATAACTATTCGTATTGTGGTAAGTTAAATAACTTTCAAAAACTTCTAACTGTTCTGTTTACGTTTTGGACTTACTGCTTGCATGTTTAGGTTTTAAATACTCATCTGTTGTTCATAAATAACTGTACCATTGCAGCTTGGTTTTGTGCTTCTTGCTCTGATATGGGAATATGACTTCCCACCTTTCATGGTTTTGATAATTGCAATCCTCAATGACGGTAACGTTTCAATCTGTGACAACCTTTGCTTTGATTTTTAATCAGGAACATCAGGGCTTCATAAATATGAAAAGTTTGTTTTGGATTTTTAATCAGGAACTATCATGACTATTTCTAAAGATCGAGTAAAGCCATCTCCAAGGCCTGACAGTTGGAAGCTTAATGAGATATTTGCAACTGGCGTTGTCATTGGAACCTATCTTGCTTTAGTTACCGTCCTATTTTACTGGATTGTAGTTGACACTGAGTTCTTCGAGGTATTGGAGCTTATTATAATCCTGTTTCCTCTTTCTCTCCCACTACAGTTGTTTTGGGAAAATAATTCTGTTTCCTGATAATCTGCTTTGTTGTAGACTCACTTCAATGTGAAGTCTATATCCGACAGTAGTGAGAAAATTTCCTCTGCAGTATATTTGCAAGTTAGCATCATCAGCCAGGCTCTCATCTTTGTTACTCGCAGTCAAAGTTGGTCATTCCTTGAGAGGCCTGGTGTTCTCTTGATGTGCGCATTTGTGGTGGCTCAACTGGTAAAATTCTATGCAAAATTTGTCTGTTAAGAAACAATGGCAAAGCCGGCGAAGTTTTAAACCATTAATTTTTTTTCTCTTCTAATTCAGGTGGCTACCTTGATTGCTGTGTATGCACATATAAGCTTTGCTTATATTAGGGGCATTGGATGGGGATGGGCTGGTGTTATATGGTTGTACAGTTTAATTTTCTACATACCCCTCGATATTATCAAGTTCACAGTTCGCTACGCCTTGAGTGGAGAAGCCTGGAACCTCCTATTTGATAGAAAGGTTAGTGTTCTGCTCCCTGTTGGGCACTTATTAGGGTATAAAATCTCTTCTTGAAGAGACCTTTTCATTCTCTCCATATGCAACAGACGGCTTTTACTTCCAAGAAAGACTATGGGAAAGAAGACCGGGCAGCCCAATGGGTTCTTTCTCAGAGGAGTCTACAGGGCTTGATGGCTGCAGACTTGGATTTCAATGGTAGAAAATCAAGATCTTCTTTGATAGCTGAGCAGGCCAGGCGGCGTGCTGAAATAGCTAGGTAACTTCGATTTTTTCCTTGATGCATTCGCTTATATTGATATATGAATTTCTTCTGCATTACCTGCAAAAGTAAGCAATGAACATCTTTTGAATTGAGCTCGATGATATGATCCTTGAACTTTTGCAGACTCGGGGAGCTACACACTCTCAAAGGTCACATAGAATCGGTTGTGAGGCTCAAGAAATTGGATTTAAATATGATCCAATCAGCTCATACTGTCTAAACAACAACGTGAATATTGTATTTCTCGGTTTTCTTGTGGAGGTAAATCTATCAGCAGTTGCTCACATAAGTATTTTTGCGTATAATCCCAAAAGAAATCAGCATTTGTTGTTCAAGAGTCACTAAAATGGAATCAGGGTTCTTCGGAATGGCGAACTCGTTCTTTTGGCTTCCAAGGCTGGCAATGCATATCAACAGGCTCCTTTCAAGTGAACAACTCCTGTCATCTCTCAGTATGTGTTGCAATTTTTTGATATAGAACAGGACTACTTGTCTAGAGATTTCAATATTTTTCTTTGCATTTCCAGAAATTTTTTCAATATTTAGTCAATCCCAATATAATAAGCTGCCTGACACAGTGGAATTTTGACGTTGATGAGGTTTTTTTTTTTTTAATTCTTCATGGTTCAGAGCTGGAACTAAGCATTATCTGATGTAACCTTGAGTCATAATCTGCAAATGCTGCTCTTATATGGCTACTTATGTCATCTACTCTGATATGGTTTAGTGCTCATCTCATCTAATCAGCGTCAAATACTTTAAATTTTCAACTGAGGTGATGCCCTAGTTTAACAGCAGCAGGTTTAATGCAATAATTCTCACATTAGCACTCATTTGTGTAGTGAAACATTTTTATAGTAACAAAGAATATGAAGTGAACATCAAATCTTTTTTGCAACAAACTCAATAGTTGACAAGTATACTGATAGAAACTGTAAGTACAATGCTAATAATGATACACGAAAAAACCCTAAACTTTAAAACCTAAACCCTAAACCCTGAAATGCAAACAAGAGAAAAAAAATCTTTCTTGCAGAAAAAAATAACCTCACTTAGGAACAGAAATAAATTACTAGACAGCACAACATTATCACACCAATTACCAGTTGAACTAATTACTTTATGATTGGAATACTTGGAGGCTCATCACTAAAATCATCGGGAAGAGAAGATTCTTAGTAGGAGGACATCTGAATAGTGCACAACTTTCCCAGCCTCACAGAGTTGACATAATCTGTAGGGCAATGTGCTGCTATACCGGGCATTGCCAATCCTAGTATCCTGAGAAATATGGAGAACCATCCTTCCTTATACTTTGGCCCATGGGTGAATCCCATCGTCAAACTTCTTATTAACTCCCAAACTGCATTGAGATGTTCCATGATCAGATGTGTTATCCCAAAGTCATTTTTATTTGGCTCCTCATCCATTATCTGTAAACAATAACAAACAAAAGAAGAAACCAACTCAATATGATGAAGGTTATGAAGCATTTATCACAGAAAAAGGTTACACCGTCATGTCAAGCAGTAAATACAACTCAACACAAGACTATTTCATGATATCTTCAATTTATATCTACATAAATGATATTATGATATGAATTAGGAAGCAGTAGTTTGCAGTGTTAAATAAGACTTTGATTCAACCAACAGTTTAAACAGTTTAACCAATTTAATTAAACATGTGAAGCGTATCAACAGATCAATATAAAAGCAAGGGATATTCTGGATTTGATACTAAACCCATTTGTCTTGACAGAATATCAAGCGAACAAGATATAATTTAAATATGTTAAGAAAAGGTGTAAAACAGGTGGGGATAAGTGAATACCTGCTCAAGATAACAGCTGTTGTAGTAAAGGCACACCCCAAAATGCTTATACAAGAAGGTTTTATCATCATAAGGCAACCTCGGCACCAGGTCATTACAATAAACCACTCTGAAGTACTTGGGGACCGGTTGATCTAAATGAGCTTCCATGAACCTCCCAAGTTGTCTGTTCCCAACCCTTGGCTGTCCAAATGTGTATACTCCCAACAACTTTTGGACTAGCTTCATCTCCTCATGTAGCACCAGCACTATTGGAAACAAAATAGCTAGAGCCCCTCCTAAACTATGCCCAGTGACTATATATTTTGCATTCTTGTGCTCTTCAAGCAAGCTCTTGAGCTTTTGTCTCACCAAATAGTATGCAGTCATCTCCACCATTTCTGGCAGGATGTCCTTGTCACCAATACCAGCAGACCTTTCAGAGTGGCCATCTGCGTTTAAGGAGTATACTTCTGCAGCTTCTGAATAGGTGTGCTTTGTCCTCTTCTTCTGAAGGAGATAATGAAAGGTAGCAGTATCTTCTCTGTTGCCCAAACCTAATGCCTCCAGAAATCCCATATGAATCTTTCCTAGTTTTGGAATTTCATACCAAGAGTAGTCAAAATCAGTACACCAATCGTCAGCATCAAAAGGTTCTGTGCCCCGAAAGCTGATCAATATTAGATTTGCATCCTTAGGCTTGTCGCATAGCATAAAAACTTGAGTGGATTTCTCCTTTTGGTAATCTAAAAATGATTGCCAATCAAAGAGGGAATTAATATACGATTAAATGTAAGGGGGCCTATAAAACAAACAAATTTGACTCTAGGGAGCATAAAGAAAATAATCAAGTAAACAGGGAAATATCCATAGGTAAGTGAAGCAAAGATCTCCAAGTCTCAACAGAATCCGGTTAACACAATTTACATTCAGAATGCATCTCTTACCATCCCAGCAGTTGTAGAAGTCCACGAAGTGCGTCTGCGTATGTCAGGTGTGTTGATTGCAAAGTCATTAGTTGCCACCAGAAGTTGGTAGAATTCATAATTGAATCGACGATTACCAGAACAACATAATTGAAATTGAGGTCAGAGAAGAGGAATAGAGTGGCTTGCCTTCCAACGATGAACCACAACATTCCTAATAACTTCAGCATTCTCATATGCTAGCTTGGATGCCATCATCCATAGGTCCATTGTTGCTCGGTCATCCAATTCAACTTTTCTGACTCCCTCCCCTGAAGCAGAATTATGCAAATCTTCCACTAACTTCTTGCCCTGGTAGAGGTCTACTCGCTCATCTAAGTGTCCAATACTACTAACAAAAGTCTCGGTGCCTCTCTTTGGTATAACTACGTCTCCTGCATCCCGCAGTCATCTCAGTAACCATAAATGCCATAAGTTTGACAGAATTTGCAATTATGATATATTAAATTATTAATCTTAAAAATGATGACCAAAATCAAGGCAATCTCAACTGTCTAGGGCGTTTGATATATAGCAAAACAGTGTCAAATTCAGAATTGGAATCCTGAAAATGCCATTTTTTCTTCAATCACATATGCAGCAGTCCACCTTAATTACAAAATATTTGTCACTTTCTTACATGCTTCAATCTACTTACAAATATGACATATATATGTAAGCAATATTACAAGTGTATCTTACTGAAAGAGAAAGGAACAAAGACACATTAGAAAGAGAATTACCATGGAGAAGGTTGTGTAATAAGCCAAAGATGGAGCCATTCTGAGAAATAAGATTGAGAAAGAAGTCAACCACGTAGCCAGTGAACTCCATGGGCTTGCTAAATAAGTGAATGATCTTGCGTGCTATGATGGACACCAAAATGACCCAACGGTGGTCAGCCGCTTCTCCACCCACCAAATCCTGGTCTGAGCTTTCCAAGAACCTTATCCCACTCACTATGTCACCCCACAATAAGTACCTCATCAGGTCCCAAATCCCACCGTTCTCTGGCCTTACAATCAGGTACCTGAGCTCATCATGCGAACCATCGTTCGTGTCTCGGAACTCGGTGCTACTAGCCATGATCGTGTTTTCTCTTCACTTTACTGAATCTCGAAGTGTTTTGTTTCAGTTTTTGGGAACTTCAGATCTTAGGATGTTTGTTCCTGTAAGACACACGAAAGAACATTAATTGATCTGTCACATGGACAGCGGCTATATTTATAACCTGTCAGGAGAATGGGCTAAGGATTGGTCACGTGTGCAATTTTAGCACAACTCGGAAAAGTTTCTGTAAAAGAGAATTCTAATTCCCGATTCTTAAGTCACAAGCCTCATACATGTGAGAATGAAAGCGAGTGTACACTAAAGTAGCTAAAGATAGAGCGCTAACGATGAATACTGAATTCTTGTCTGCAGTCAATCTATCAGAAATTCCGAAAAACAGATTGCGGTTAAGTACACCTAGAATCTGAAAATCGTCATCACCACCTGCATGGCTCGAGCCTTAGGCCTTTACCAACCTTACTTGCTGACCCCACCGTGCATATTCCTTTCTCGACTTTATCTATATAGGACGAAGACGAATTGGATTTCTTTCTGATAGGAGAAAAAGAAAGGCTCATGTCATGCGCACACCACTAGGCATTTTTCCCTATAGAAATTTTTTGCTTTTTTTAGTCTTATACTATATTTGTTCGTTTAGATGGAAGAACTTGATTTTGCACCTATGGGTAATTTAATTAATGAGGCTATGCATGGGGTGATAGGGTTTTTTCACCCAAGATTTCTTCCTAGCTCCGACCTGGCAATATCAAATTAGGCAACAATTTGTGGACTGCAATTCTGTAATAACTGCCACATAGTTATTACACTATTGTACGTTACTTTCTTTTGACAGACAAGAATCGGGAAAAAAAATGGAAAAGGCTTAGAAGAAACAAAAAAAAAAAGGCTAGAATTTGAGAATTTAGTCATGTAATTAAAGGTTTAAAGCAGTTAACAAAAAATAAATAAATGTTTAAAGCTATAAGAAGATTTAAATACTTTATTTATTGCTTTGATTTTAACGTGTCAGATTTTGATATTTTATAATTTTGTAAATTAGATAGACAAAGCTTGTCTTAATAAGATTGATATCTGTATTTAAACTTTTGCGAGATTTGATAGGAGTATTTTGACATTAATTATAAATTTTGTAAATTTGAAATATTTGTAATGTGTAGGAAATTTAATTTTTTTGTAAAATGTATTATTTGAAGATATTTTGAAGATTTTGATTTTTGTTTTGATAAGATATTTGTTGCTTTACATGGTCATAAGATTATTTCATAAATACATGATATTATCATATCTTAAATCTTTAAGTTTGAAACGTGATAATTTAATAAATTATTTTGATATCAATCACGAAAACTTACACTCAACTTATAAAATATTATTTGTTTTAATTCAAAATGATTTTAAAATTTTGTATAAAAGAACATTTCATAAGTATATATCTCTACATATAATGGATTTTTACAAATTCTTAGCATCAATCTGGACTTCACAAATTCCATTCTATTCTCTTAATATAACATCCTGATTTCTTAAAACAAAAACCGTGAAACTAACTTGAGCCAACGACAGTGTAAGGAAGAAGTAAGCATTAGCATGGAACACAATGACCAAATGACCAATCTACAAGTTGGCATCATTTCTTGAATGACTCTCAAAGCTTGCACCATTAAACTGCTTGTGCACGTATTGAGAGAAAGGGTGTCATCGTTGGAGATGCGTAGACTTATTGGAAAACCTTAAAACAGTAAGTTGTTAATTTGCATTAGAAATAGTACAAATCTAGTTTGATGTTTGTTTTACCAAGACCTCAGTCTTTGGCACTCATGTTCTAATCCCAAGTAAAGAAGCGAGATGTACAAAATTTAAAATTTTTTGAACCCAAATTTAGTTCGAAACTGAATTTTAATAATTTTGAATTTTAAAGATTCGAGATTCAAAGACGGAAACCTCTGCCAAGTTCATAATCTTCTTAATTCTAATTAAACTTTTAGGATGAAAGAAGAACACGGGAGTTAGCTAAGCATTACGTACGTTATCAATATTAAAGGAACCAATTTCCAGAATGAAGCTCGTAGGTACGTTCTGTACCGGGAAAAGCAATTATGTGTTGAAAAGGAGGGGGTGAAAAAGAGAAAATGTATGGCTGAGAATAGAAGAAGCTTCCTAAATCCTAATCTTATGTGCGTAAGCAAGGTGTAAAATTGGGCTCCCTGACTGGAGCTTGGCCCCTTTTTTCTCCAACAGTTTGAAAGTTTCAGCCTTGCCCTTTGAACGAAGCAAAACTTTGGGGCCCCAAAACTAGACTCAATCTTCAAGAAACAGCAAAGCTCAAGCTGGCATTGACTCGGCCCAAGGATTTCATACCTTTCAAACAAAGAAAGGAGCTGAACCCCTTATTTCCCCAAACGTATATAATCCATAATTGGATCTTGAAATGGACTTCTTTTTTAACAATATCGTGTGCAATATTGTCTATTTAGAAAATTAGATTAAAAGCTAATATTCGGTAAACAAAATAGTGAAAATACACAAATGATATATTTCTGTTATTGATTTGGCATTCAAGTACCTACAAACAGATAGCCACCGGGCTTCCTCATTTCTTTCTTTTTTTTTTTTTGATTGGATGGGAAAAATATTTGGAGTCCCAATATTATTCTCTTTGATTTATGTAATAATATCTTTTCAAATGCGGAAAATAATTACTGGCTTAATACGAGGATTAAAAAGGAAAGTAACCAAATTTTAAAAAAAGAAAAAGGAAAAAAGGACAAAGATAACGCCACCGATCACCGACACAAAGTAAGAGTAATGTTTCAATTGCAAACGTAGCATATCTCAAAGACAAATGTGGTCTATTAATTAACGCCACATGGCGTAGTGCGCCAGCATCTTTGACAAAACCATTTATTTATATAATATCAACACATGTCCAATCTCTTTGAACGGGAATTTTGCCTGTTTTCTTTTGGGTTTATATTTCGTCCAACCTTAGTTTTCATTTCATTGTTTAATAACGGGCGGGGGTGCCCCATTCGAAGAAACTGACCTCTTGCCTTCATTACAAGAATTTGTACAAGTTTGTTGATTTGAACAGCAAAGCTAGTTCACTTTAATTTTTGTTATATTGAAGCTCAAGGAATCATTTCATTTCAATTTTTCCAACAAACCTTTTGAAAATGACATTATTCATTAAAGTCAACATTTAAACGTGTTTTTCAGTCCAGCAAAGAAAGTATTTCATGTGGTATTCTTCAATAATATTTCTTTAATTAGTTATTATTATATATATTGAAAATAACATTTTCCCCTTTTTTCCCCTGTTTTAATCCTCAAACTTAAAATTTATTATTAAATTGTACAGTAATACCATTTAACAATGATTTCAAACACCAAAGCTTTCAGAAAATGGCTTTTGACATCTTTGGGTGTGAAGAAAAAAGAGAGCCCTATGTCTGACTTTTTGAGCTCTATGTAAACACCAAGCAGTCCCCACCTTTAATTACCTAATTAAAGTTCATGTGACAAAAATTAGGGAATTAATGCAAGCTTTGAAATCCCACCAAATTGTGAGGTTGAGCAAATAATATTTATTAAGCAGTTTGTGTAAACAAGGCAAGTGAAATGTAACTTCATTAACAGACCAAACTATGAATGGTTGAGATTAATCACACAAAGTCCTCCTAACATTTTTAGTGTTGTTACTTGATAATTCCATATCAACCTAAAGCTTTTGTTTGGGGTTTTTATTGTTTGTTTGCTTTAGTGGGAGCCATGAACTTCCCTTACAAGTCTGCCACACAAAAATACTACTAATGATTCCTGCCCAACTTTCTTTTAATCCTATTAGCTCAACGACTCTGAGTGTTTTTTATTATTTTTTTAGTTTTACAGTTCTAATACCACCAAAAAATTGTTATTATTTAAAGAATAAAAAAGAAAAATTGAAAGGACGGGTGCGGTGCAATTTGCAAAGGCTAACAATCCTGATTCTGTTCTACCACCTCCATGCCTAAATCTGACAGTGACTCTCACACAATCCAAAAATGTCTACAGTTGTTGTGCCATCATTCTAGTCATCCTGGAACCAGCTTAATCATTCAAGAACCTATGGCGAAACTTACGCCTTTCAAAGTAGTTGACTAGCACTATAACAAAACTAAAACTAAAACCATGTAAAATTTGTGAACAGATGAACAATACTTTGTCAAGAACAAGAAATAATGGTATGGTATAAGATAAATTATGCGTTTAACTGTCCCCTTCAACTGTAATCATTTACTGTTATTAAAAGTAATAATGTTTGTTTAATAAGTTTAGCAATCATTCAATCTTCAAAGCAATGTATTATCTCTCTGTGTCTCTCTTTTCTGGTCCTTATAAAATATAGATGGGTCCACAACCTTGAGGCCAACTACTGCTACTTTCTAACCCCCTTCAAAATCTGTATAATTATGATTACGACAATCAAACAAAATAAAAAACCCAAAGGCAAATCTAAAAGCGTGTCATAAGCCTTGTGAAAGTTACGGCTCTTATTTTATTAGTATTGGATAATATTTTAAGGGAAAGAACGAGTATTTAGCAAAGCCAGAACACCTACCAAAAGCGTAAGCATCTCTTTACCTTTCTGCATTTTTTTTAACAGTGTCAGTCACTTATAAACCAGAAAGGAAAAACAAAAACAAAAATACAAAAAATGGGAATTTGTGATGTCTATATAAATATCACTATTAATGCTAATGATAATGTTATAGCCATAGGCAATGTAAAAATATAAGCTTTTCCGTGGCTTTGGATTCTTCTGGCAAATCGTGCCTGCCAGCTTTTACTTGGTTATGGCTAAACAGCTCTAAAATTTGTCCCACCAAAAAACTTATCATATTATTATAAAAAAGAAAGAATAAGAAAAAGGGTCTTTGACAGTCTTAGACCAAAGCCAGTTCTGGTTCTGGGTGGTGACCAGTTTGGAGAG